AATTTATAATAAACAATGTGCTAAATAAAAACTTAAGTTTTGATTTTTAAGAAAAAAATCACTAATATTTGTAGGTTATTTAAATTTAAATATTTAAAATGAGATAACAGTTTGAGAATTTTTATTTTTAAATTTGATTAAATAATTTATTAAATATAATTTTTAGTCCTATTACATGTGTAAGAGTGTAATAAACTTAAAATATATAAATTATTGATGCAAATAAAACTTCTACTAAATAAAATTTGTAAACAAAAATAGTTTTCCCTTAGAATATACAAAGTCAAAATATAGCTGTTTTAAATCTATTAAATAAACAGTAGAAGTGTCGTAGAATAGTGGTAAGTAAAATAGATTTTCATGCTACGGATTGAAATTTTGGTTAAAAGTTTAATTAAACTTTTAGTTTACGTATAATTTTGCACTTATGATTCGTTCGGGTATAAAAAAGCACTATACAAAATATTTGGGTCAAAAAACCACTCTTCTCCACACTTCGGTGGGTTGAACACAGATTTGGGTGGGTCACAATGTATCCTTTTACGCCAAAAGAGCTGCACATTTAAATCTGTTTATGCATTTCACAAGACTTTTATATTGTGAACACGTGGCAGGTGCCACACCCCTTTCCTTTCCTAGGTGAGTCCGCCTCGGTATATGGTGGTTTAGTTCTATGTATTTTCTGTTGGTTTTGTTTGATATTTACGAGCAGTTTCCTAATCTTATGTATGTGGTTCAGACTAGCTACACATAATAGACTTAAAGTCTTTGGTAAGGTCAAATCTCAGATCGCGTGTTGTTTTCCTATGATCAAAGAATCCATGTGAAAGTTTCGGTGACCAGTGCAAGTCTAACCTGAAACCATATTTGCAGCCGTAAGTCGTTCACCAACAGACTAACGCATCTTGGTTCTATTGGCTTTGTTGGATCGAGGCTTTCCATCGAACATAGGTTGATGTCCAAGAATAAAGCGCTATGACGGGTTGTTTCATTCTTTTGGAAAGAGTTGTCAGCGGTTTCTTTGACGGGTTCATGTTTTCGGTGTTAATGCTGGGTGGTACTCCGTTCAAACTTCAGGTGACGACTTTCTAATTGGTGGAGGTGATGACATCTTGGTATAACTTGTGCCTTGATGCACAATGTGTCTATCGTGGGTCGGCTGTTGGTCGAGTTTTGTCATATGTTTTCTTGCGGATTTTTTTTTGGTTTTCTCTTTGGACCTACAACTTATATAGTTTTTTTTTTTTTGCTGAATTGTTAAATTAATTATCAACAAAATAAAAAATTACAGGTGCGCTTAGAAATAAAACACAATGTCTAAGGAAAAAAAACATGATTCAAGTATGCAAGTTACTGGATCGTTGGAACCAACGTTGCATCATGCCACTATAGAAGACAGGGTTCCTATGGCGCAGAGAGGAGATCTTATTTCTGATTGTCTTGTCAATGAACCGGACCATGTAGACTGGACTAAGAGGAGCGCCGTGATGCCGTCTACTATTCCTTTCCCGCCATATACTGTGAATGGTGGCTTGGAACGCAAGATTAAGGAGCGTTGAGTCGATCGCCGTCCTGCGAGAGGAGAAGTGATGCAACAGTGAGAGACCAGTCAGGATTAACTCGAGTCCCTAGTAGAAACCCCATTAGATCAATCCACACCGTAAAGGAGTATGGACAAGCAAAGAACAGATGGTCACGAGTCTCGTCCGGTTCCCCACATAGGATACACGGCTGGGTACAACTTGTATAGTTGGCATTCTAGTTTTCTTTATCTTGTGATTTGTCCCTTTAACAATTGTAACGATCCCAATTCCCTACCTCAAAAATTGTTAGTATACTAAACCCAATACTTGTCTATAAATATCCAACCTCCACCCATCAGCTCTTTTGTTGCAAAATCAGAGAGAGAGAGAAAGTTAGAAGAGAGAGAGAGTTAGAGAGAGAGTTGAAGGTAAGAAGTGGTAGAGGCTGAACTACCTCAGGGGAAAATGGCCTATTCCAACCACAATTTTACCATTCGTGCATATTCTTTCCCGAACTTTGTTGTAGTGCGTATTCCATACTTAACTAAACAAAAACTTAAAAACACTATATGAACTTTACAAATCGTGTATTTTCCTTCATGAACTTTATATTAGTGCATATTTCACACTGAACTAAACAAAAGTATAAAAATACAACACGAACTCTCAAAATCGTGCTTATATATAGTCCGTCAAATGTGCCAGTCATCCGTTAGTTTATCAAAATGATATCATTTTAAATCAACTTTATAAAATTAAAAATACTACATAAACTTGCAAAATCATGAAAACAACATCAATTTGGATAAATTCTATAAAATTAAAAATACTTTTTTGGGAGGTTCAAACTTTCACACTGTGGACAAGTAAGAGCCTAATAATTTCTAGACCAAAGTAGCTTTTTGTATAAATTATGTAAACATTAACTTATATAAGTTTTTAATCAAATAAATATTATCAATTTTTTTTTAATTTATCAAATCAATCGGTAATTATTTATGTTTTAAATTTAAATGTACAAATAATTATTTTGTAAAATTTAACTTCATTATTTTTAGTTTAAATATTCATTTTATACTTGTCCATTAGTGTGAAGAATTCGAACATCTCATAATTTTTTTAGTTTTATAGAATTTATCCTAAATGACGTTGTTTTGATAAATTAATAGATGACTAACATCTTGATGATCAATATATATAAGCAAAATTTTAAGAGTTTGTGTGGTATTTTTAAACTAATTTACAGAATTTATAAAAAAATGACGTCGTTTTGATAAATTACTGGATGTGTAACATCTTTGATGGTTAATATATATATATGTAAGCACGATTTTGCAAGTTTATGAAGTATTTTTAAATTTCTATTTAAGAAAACTTATCGATACTGATGTCGTTTTGATAAATTAATGGATGACTAACAAATTTAATGGTTTATATAAGCACGATTTTGAGAGTTCATGTAGTATTTTTATACTTTTATTTAGTTTAGTGTGGAATATGCACTGCTATAAAGTCCATGAATGAAAAGGCACGATGAGTAAAGTTCAAGTAGTATTTTTTAAAATTTTATTTAGTTCAGTATGAAATGCGCACTACTACAAAGTTCGGGAAAGAATATGAACGACTGGTAAAGTTCAGGTTGAAATGGGCTCTTTTCCCACTACCTGAGATTGCCGGAGCCACCACACACTGGGATGTCGTCATGCTCATCACCACCGTTTGCAACCGCCAAGGTAACCCGGAATCCACCGTGGTTTTAAGTTAGTTTTGAGTCATTTAGTAAATCGTTGATAACTTCTGAAGCGTTGAGAATATCATGCATGAAATGCCACCACCGTGTTCTACTCGTCGAGACGAAGCCGTAAACACCAACCACGCCTCAATCGGAGCTCGGACGAAGCCACACGTGCGGCCTAAATTTTCGCCGTCGCGCGCGTGCGTTTGACGTGCCGTCGCCGGACCGCCGTGTCTCCGCCGCCGGACCGCCTTGTCTCCGCCGCCGGACCACCATCGTCGTCGGTGACCGTCGCCGGTGACTCGGCCAACCTGGCGAGTCAACTCGGTTGACTTGGTAAACTGGTGGATTGACCGGTTCAATTCAATTGCGTTTTAGTTAAAGTAAATCGGCGTTTAAAATCAAATGAATTTTGGTTAGGAGTAAACCGATATGTAATTGATTTGGATCCAGTTCAATTGAAATCGATTCCGGTTAAGGAAAACTGTTTGGTCCAATTCGATTTCAATCTAGTCAAGGGTTGATCGGCTTGGGTCAGAGTTGATCGGGTTGACCTTTGACCAGCGGATTGACTTTTCCTTTGACACCCATTTTTTACCGTTCGACGGGCGTTTTGACTCAAAATTTTGATCTAATTTCAGATTTGAGATCTATTTGAGCAGCTGGAGATCATAGCTACTACTTTTCTCAATTGCTAAGGTGAGGGTTTACTCCCTAACGTTTTATACGTGACTTAAAACTTTAAATAAATATAATTAATTTCTATTGTGTTCCGTCTGCGTGAAAAGTCTTTTAGGATCTGATTGGTGTATATTTGATTAGTTATTTAGGCTCTTTGCTAAACCGGAATTAGAGTGTCAGATGGTTCAACATTGATTGCTTAGCATAATGTAAATCATCTAGTTATAATTTTTTGGCCGGATACAAAGACGGACTTCTATATGCCGGATTGTTTTAGGGTTACAGCCAACTTTAGTCGACCGGTTGTGCCGTAGCTTAGGGTCGATAAATCGTCTACGGGCGGTACCGGGGCACTATCCTAAGTGGTTGTTATGTTGTTGTTAGCCTAAGTGTGGATAGTGTTTTTGGCATGTTAGTGGGCAGTGAATGCGTTTCGGTAGGACCATTGCTTGTTTGCTTGGGGACTTTAAGTACCGTATTTGTACATATTAAAATTAATTTATATTTATTCGGAGTGATATGTCCGGATCTACGGACTTTGGGGTAGCATCCCATACATCATTGAGTGCTTCCCTAGTCGCTCACCTCTCTTGTTTCCCTCATTCAAGTGAAACAAACAATAAAGTGATATTTGGACGGACTTGGTGCTTCTAGACTTTTTTATTCGAATTTTTATTTGGACTTGGGTGAGTGTAGTTGAGCTTTTGGGCTTTTATGTTACGAGATATTATTGGTGGCCCATCGTTCCATTGTGTTACAACAATATTAAAGATGACACACCAAAATTAAAGTTACCAATAGTTTCTGATCACATCAACAAACTGAGCGTAAATAATTGTGGGCCTATTAAAAAGCCCAATTAAAAAAATAAAATCAGCCTGTCATATTGATTACTCATCCTATCGTCTCCCACTTCCCGCCATCTCTCCCGCTCGCCGTCGTCTCTT